GAGTACGCATGTCTGTGTGCTTCTACAACACTTTTCTCATAAACCCTACCTCAAATGATAATGAGATTTTTCATCCATGTAGAGGACTAGATGAATACACACAATAAAAAAGTAATTCTATCAATTGACTTATGTGTCAATTGGAAGGATCAATGAACTATGAGTGTTTAGATTTTGTACTCGGTTTTGTTTGTCACTATACATATGTAAGAAAGAATTAGAAATTTATTTTAGCAAAAATTTCTTCATGAAGACAAGAATTGATACCTAAGAGGATTAGTTACCAATCAATATTAAAATAAAATTCTAAGGCACAAAATTGAGGATCTATGGCAATTCTAGGGTTCTTTTGTAAATCAAAGTATACAATTTGAAAGCAGACTTGAGGAAAGTTTTTTAAGTATTTATTTTATATCATTTGGATTAATATTGAAATTCTGAAGGACTTTTAAAGTTAGTGATATATTTGGGAGATTTAGATTTTAAAAAATAAAAATATATTTACAAATTTGAAGATTTCTTGAGTTTTGTAATTTATTGTTGTGCTTGTTATTAATGTGTATGAAAAATTTCAAGTCAATCAAGCACTTAGATTGAAGCATATGAGGATCTTTCTGGATTATGGTCTAAAAAATTGGAGATTTAAGATTAGAAAGTGATTATAAGATCTAGTAATATTTATTACTTGGATTGAAGTAAAATTTGGTCAGAAAAATTAAGACTTAAATATCTACATATAATCTAATTTTTAGAATATTTGAATAATTAAACAAGGAGAAATTGGTATTGAAATATCAACATTCAAGTCGGAGAAGGAGAGAAACCAACAACTTAGAGTATTTGGAAGCTTTTCTTGCAATTAGTATATTTGATTCTTCTCAAATTTTGTATACTTATTAAATGCTTGTTGATTGAAGTCCAAGTGAAATTATAGTTAAGATCTATTATTCAATTAATATTTATTGAGGTTTCAAATAGCTATAATAATTGATTAAAAATTATTTAAAATTTTCTTGAATTTGTTTAAGATTTGATAGACTTTGATTAGGATTTAGGATTTTATTAGAGTTTGGTTTAAGATTAATATTTAGAATTTTATTAAGAATTAATTAAAGCTAATTTAGGATCTAAGATTAAATTAAGATTTGATGAAGATTTAGAATTTTTTTAGGATTTAATTAAAATTTTATTAGAATTTATTTAAGATTTGATTAGGATTTGAATAGGATTTGTTTAAGATTTGATTAGAATTTATATGAGATTTCATTAGTATTTCATTAGAATTTGGTCTAAGATTAGGATTCAAGATTTTATTAGGATTTAATTAGATTTTGTTTAGAATTTAATTAGGATTTATTTAAGATTTAATTAAGATTTGATCTAAGATTAGGATTTAAAATTTAATTAGGATTTGATTAGGATTTGGATAAGATTTATTTTTCATTAAGATTTGTCGAGGATTATATTAAAATTTGATTGGGATTCAATTAGGATTTTTATTTTTAATATTTTTTAAAGCTTTTTTATGTTTCTTTTGTAAGTTCTTTAGACTTCTTTTGAGTTTAATTAAAGATTGATTAGTATTATCATAATTTAATTGGAGCTTGTTTAGGATTCTATTAAAGTTTTTAAGGTCATTTTGTTACAAATTCCATTTTTCCTACTATAGTCAAGTATCTAATGTATTCTCAAGTAGACTTCATGTAATACAATAACGGTTCTCCTTTACCATTGCTAGACTTACATCACATAATTCCTAATCATCATAGTATGATAATAAAAAGGAATAATTTCATATACAGTGATAAACAAAACCAAGTACAAAATCTGAACACTCATAGTTCATTGATCCTTCCAATTGACACATAAGTCAATTGATAGAATTACTTTTTTATTGTGTGTATTCATCCAATTCTCTACATGGATGAAAAATCTCATTATCATTTGAAGTAGGATTTATGAGAAAAGTATTGTAGAAGCACACAGACGTGCGTACTCAATTTTGGTTGCTTCTTCTTGCTGAATTTCGAAATTTCAATGTACACTCCTTATTGCAAGATTTGAGGGTATTTTTTGTTTGTTGTGTTGCTCTTGTTGTATACTATCTATAGTGAAAGTTGATTTGTCAATTGTATCTCTATGCCTTGATTGTGTGAATCATTGAAGCACCAAGCATTGGCACAGCTTAAGAGTGGTGTTTCTACAAGAAAAGTTACAGACTCACTTGGAATGAGTCAGTCTTCAGTAGTTCATCTGAGAAGGGAGATTAGTGGTGAAATAGAAAAGCAAAGAAGAGGACGTCCAAAGGTTTTAGGAGAGCAAGAGAAGCGACTTGGTGTGCATCTTGTCACTGTTGATTGTCTCAAAACGACAAGTGCAGCTGCAAAACAACTTCGAGAAAAAACAGGTAAACACTTCTCAGACATCACCTTGAGGCGTGGTTTGAGAGAAGCTAGTTTGGGTGCTTGTGTGCAACAAAAGAAGCCTCTACTTGCCAAAAGACATGTTCTTGTAAGGTTGAGTTTTGCTCATAAATACAAAAATTGGACCGTTGATGATTAGAGACGGGTTATTTTCAGTGATGAGATAAAGATTAACTTAATCAATTCAGATGGTAGGTCTTGGTGTTGGTTGAGAGAAGGAGAACGACCTGGACCTAAACATGTTAGTCAAACTGTCAAACATGGTGGTGGTTCAATTATGATTTGGGGTTGTATGACTGCTTTTGGGCCAGGTACTTGGTATCAAATTGAAGGTAGAATAGAGCAACACTTGTACAAAAAAAATTTAGAAACCTACTTGCAAAGTACCACACAGAATTACAACTTAGATCCTACTAAGGTGGTTTTTCAACATGATAATGATCCCAAACATACGGCAAAAAGTGTTCAGTTTTGGCTCTCTTCACAGCCATTTCAGCTCCTTCGATGGCCAGCTCAATCTCCAGATTTGAATCCAATGGAATATTTTTGGGCCCTTCTCAAACAGCGTTTAAGCCAAGTCACTCCAAGGCCAAGAGGTGTTCAAGAATTGTGGGAGAATGTTTGTAGTATTTATCCTAGTTTTGATGCAAAAGATTGTGAAAAACTATACAAAAGTATGCCAAGAAGGATTTCAGCTGTTTTGGAAGCAAAAGGTTATTGGACTAAATATTGAAGTTTGAAGATTTTCTTTGAACAATACTGAGTATAAGACATAGTTGTTGATTTGACTTTGTAGAAGGATGTTTAGTTATCAATTTGATGTGCAACTTTGTACATGTGTACAAGACTGTGTATATTATTCCATGTAACTTTCAGATTTATAAAGCAATCATTGAAATTTCTGTAATTGCTCTTGAAAGTTGGCACTTCAGATTTTGTACTCGGTTTTGTTTGTCACTGTATATATTCCTCAAATATTGTGAAATATGAAGAATATCCAAATATTCTTTATAATAACAAATGTATACTTCAAATATGATAGGATATAACTACAAGGAATATATTTGCTATTATAAAGAATATAAAAATATTCTTAATATTTCAAGATATTTGAGGGATATATATGAAAAATTTCCTTTGATCTAATATACTCAAAAATCTAATTTTTTTCAAAATATGCATTGGAATTGCTAAACCTCATTAAGTTTATTTATATGATATTTTAGTTATAAACATATAACTATAAATTATATATATTATATATAGTATATTAAAAGGATATTGATCATATTTCTTCTATCAAAAAAAGAAAAAAATATATAAATAAATCTATAAATTTTGTAATAGTATTTCACATTAAAAAATTTAAAAAATTAAAAATTTGATATAATTATTGAAAAAAGTAAGTATATATTTTATAGATTTACTTATCTTTTTTATTAATTATATTACTTCTTTTGATGTGCAATCTAAGAATAATACAAATAAAATAAAGAAGCTCAAATACCAAGTAATTTTAGAATCAAATCTTAAAGTATAATAAATTTAAAATCATATCTATTTACTATTTTTTATTATTGTAAATAAAATTTACTTTGTATTTGCCAATAGCTTCTAAGTCATATTTAAAGACACTTATAAAAGCCTTGATATAATACAAAATTTCATGTAGATTTTAAATTTTGGAATTAAATGCTACGATTTGTAATAAGTCTTAAAAATATAAATTTGTATGGATTTGATAAAAATAAATAAATAAATAATAATAATAAAAAAATAATAAGATGTATTTAGAAAAAAATCTAATATTAATATAACTATTATCAAGTAAGAATAATTTGGAGATAAATTATGCAAGGCTTAATTTAAGAGAAACATTTATAAGAGTGCATGACTTTTGTGTGGCTTATATATATATATATATATATATATATATTGTTTGAAAATACATTTGATTGATTTATTGATTTATTTATGTCTAAATACAAAAAAACACACTATCATTATTTTAAATCCATCATTAAAGATGGAGGTGATGTCATGAACATAATATTCCAAATCTTTGCACACTTTTTAAGATCCATCTAAAAATTATTTAGAACATTCTAAAGAAATATTCATTAAAATTTCTATAAAGTATTTAGAAAATAATTTTCAGAAAACTTCTGAAATATTTGCCAAAATTTTCTATACATAGATACACTGTAATGAAATAAAAAAGTATGGAAATAAGAAAAGAACAGAAAAATATAAAAATATGTATTCAAGACATTTTGGTGATCAGCAATCCAAACAAAAAGAAAAAAAAAGAAAAAAAATAAAAATTGAATTAAAGCAAGGAAAAAAAAAAACTATGAAATATCAACCAACTTACTTATTATCCACATGGCACGATCCGTTCCCGACGCGTTCCCGAGAGCAGCACACTCTGGCAGAGGGATTACCGGATTACTGGCTACGGGCGGTGGACGGCGGGAGGGGAACCGGCCCGGCTATGGCGAATGAGAGCCACACATGCGGGACCTTAGCGGAAAAGCGGAAAGAGCCCCCCGCTCTCCGGAGGAGGAGGGAAACCCCCGGACCAACCCCTTCCTGCTGCGTCGTCAATCCCCGTCGCCATGGCTCGTTGTTCGCTGTGGGGCTCCAATTCATCATCGCTGCATCGAGCACTTCCTCCTCTCCGCTCGGAAATGGCTCCTCTCTCCCTTCTGAACTGATTCATCCTGGCTTCCAATTTGCCATCCCTGCGTACAAAACATTATGGCCGATGGTGTATTCCGAGCGCGACACGCTTGCCTTTCTTTCCTTTGAATTAGATTTGTGCGAGAGGGAGAGTTAGGCGGGTACAGAGAAGGGTGAGTCTGCATGCGGTTTGGCGGGGTGAGGGGGCTGCATTGTTGCGTCGCGACGTCAGGAGTCGTTGGACAGTTGCTGAGGTTGTTGCTCGTGGCGGGATTGCAACGGGCGAAGGAGTGGAGGCTGATTTTGGAGAGGTATCAGGCTACGTGGTTAGTGAGGCTGTTGGAGAGGTTTCTTTGGTGGGAGTGATGCCAGAGCGGGAGAGGGAGAGCTTCAATTGTTTTCTAGTGGGAAGTGATCTAATCGGGGAGCAATTCAGGTTCGCGGGGGTGTGATTCGAAGTGAACGGGAATTGGCTCGTGGATTGAAGGCTTTCCTTTCTCTCGGAGTTGATCAACCATGGCGTCGCTGTCTTCATTACGTTTGACTGGGGCAATGCCCTGTGTTGCTTCAATCAAGACGACCTCGTTGTTGTCGACGTCGGAAAGCGCAGGATGCAATGGAGTTAAGCAGTCGACTATGAGTCACTTGACACAGAATTCAAGCTATTCTGTTCCTGCTCCAGGACATTTTGCAAGAAATACAATGTCATCGATTCCCCCCTCAGGATCATCGTCAGCGCCCCCACTTCGGGCTGTATCTAGCAAGGTGGCTGCAGAAGCGAGTGATGTGCCTTCCATGTTTGAACCGAAATTGGAAAGTGATCCAATCAAGCTATGGAATAGGTATGTGGATTGGCTGTACCAAGACAAAGTGCTAGGGCTCTACTTGGACGTGAGTCGAATTGGATTTACAGATGAGTTTTACGAGGCCATGCTGCCGAAGTTCGAGAAAGCTTTCAAGGATATGGCTGAGCTTGAGGGCGGTTCAATTGCGAATCCTGACGAAGGACGCATGGTTGGACATTACTGGCTTAGGAAGCCTGAACTTGCTCCCACGCCATTCCTTCAGAAGTTAATTACTGATACACTTGACAGAGTTCAGAGTTTCGCTGATGACGTTATCAGTGGAAAGGTACAATTCACATAAGACGATTCTTTCCTGCTGCACTCTTCCAAATGACATTGAATTTCTGCGTTACTTAGAACTCGGAACGATCATTTCAGTTGATTCTCAATGATTTTGCTAGTTTTCTCACATATTATTGAACTTATGTCCTCAAGCAGATAGGCATTGTTTCTATATTTAGGGTGCATGTCTTCTTACCATTAAATCGCGTGAAGTAGAAATGCACCTGAAATAGAAATGTAGTTTTACCAATTTTTGAGACCTTGTAGCGAAAATCAGTTTAGATTTGGTATAACCCAATCTCTTCTTCCAATCCGAAGAAATGTGACTTGGCTATCCACGTGATTTTCAGATTTATATGGGCGTAGAAGATTGACAATTGGTTTCTTTTTGTGTGATTCACAGATAAAGCCACCCCCAACACCTCAAAATCGCTTCACTCAAGTTCTCTCGGTTGGTATTGGAGGCTCTGCGCTGGGTCCTCAATTTGTTGCCGAGGCCTTAGCACCTGACAATCCCCCTTTGAAGGTAAAGCTTATGACACAAAGCATAATAGAGTAAGACAAAAAAAACGCGCAGTTTACTAATCGACTCATTTGTAGGCTGGGCCTTACAGAAGGTCGATTTCAATCTTTACACAGGCAGGAAGTAATGATAGGAGGCAACAATGTAATGTGATCTGCCTCAACTTATGCTACTTTTATTTCTGTTCATATTACAATTCAATATCATATTCAATTGCTTCCAACCGTTTTTCGATGCTGATGACTCAATGTTCCGTGGCGTGTCAATCCAGATACGTTTTATTGATAACACTGATCCCGCTGGCATCGATCATCAGATAGCTCAGCTCGGCCCTGAGCTTTCGTCGACTCTTGTTCTTGTAATCTCAAAGGTTGATGTCCTTACTAGAGAGTTTTATTATATGAGTATGCATTGTTCGCATCCTGTATTAAGTTTGCGCATGTGCGGGAAACAGAAAGGCTGGTCCAGTTTCGGTGTCAGGTTTTTGTGCTTCTCAGCAACGCGGGCAGTAGCAAATCGCTAGTATTTTGTATTTTAGTCTTATGATTTTGTAGAGAATGCTGCTGTGGGACTTTGGTTTCTCCCATAATCGTACTCATTGTGCTTCTCTAATATACTGCCTACTCCTTTAGAGTGGAGGGACGCCAGAAACTCGAAATGGTTTGTTGGAAGTGCAGAAAGCCTTCCGAGATGCAGGCCTCGATTTTTCGAAGCAGGTGGGTTTACGCCAGTGCTGAGACTATGATGGCTAACTTGTGTTTTTGTAAAAGAGAAATAGCTCACGTATAAATGCCTGCGGTTTTTAGTTCGAATTTTAGTGAGTGAAATGGTTTGAAGCATATGTGGATGTGTAACTTGCTAGTCTATGATTAACTTAGTAAACTCAGGTATAAGAAACCTGATCAGGTAATTATTTTACATACTATAATTGAACTTGTTTTTTTGGGAATTGGCAGGGTGTTGCTATCACCCAAGAAAATTCTTTGCTGGATAACACTGCTAAAATTGAAGGTTGGTTGGCGAGATTTCCCATGTTTGACTGGGTAGGAGGTCGAACATCTGAAATGTCTGCCGTTGGATTACTTCCAGCTGCTCTGCAAGTAAGCAAATTTTAGCATCAGCCAAAATCATTCTCCACTGTTAACCTGATTGCTATGTCTACTTCTCTTGGATTGGTTGCTAGCTTATTATAGACTTCAATTTTTAATTTTTTTGTTCCAATTGTAGGGCATCGACATACACGGAATGCTAGAAGGTTCTGCGGCTATGGATGAAAGCACAAGAAACCCATCAGTAAGACCTATCCTCTGATGTCCTCTCTTGTACCTCAATTATGTCTTGGAAGCATTGTTGTCATGGATCTCTTGCCTAGGATGAATCTGGCTATATTTCTTCAAACGTAATTTTGTATTGTGTTATTTGTGACGGGTGAACCACATTCTCATCTCGTGTCCCGGATCACTACCTCTTTGGCCGATTCTGCTATGACTGCGCAGTTACTTCTTTTGTGACTTTGTAGGCTAGGAAACTCGCTGGAGTTCGTTTAATCTTTAATGTATCCATAAATTTGATTTCAGGTAAAACAAAATCCAGCTGCACTTTTGGCCTTGTGCTGGTATTGGGCAACTGGCGGAATGGGTTCTAAGGTGACGACCCTAGTCCCCCTATCAATTTTTTCCATTTTAATCTTACGATTAGCAAGAAATGCCCCAATTACATTTTGCAACGAGTGGTCCAACACAACTGTAACATGTTCTCATGTTCTATTACAAATTACTAATCTAAAAGGGCTGAGAACATAGAAACCTGTGCTTGATTTTGAACCTTAAATATCAACTTGGGAATGAAGAATTTACTTCGTCTATCTGCAGGACATGGTTGTGCTACCCTATAAAGACAGCCTGCTACTTTTTAGCCGCTATTTGCAACAACTGGTGATGGAATCCATAGGAAAGGAGTTTGACTTAGACGGCAACAAGGTAAATTTTGATGCTTTGTGGTAACGAGATCTGGATTGTGAATGCTAAATTTTTCTCCTTAACATTTTGCTTGGCGCCTCATTTTCCAGTATTTGTAGTCTTTAGGAATCGAACTTCGGATGGGTTCGTTACTCCCGTCTAACAGTTGCCGCTGAGCATTTTTGCTTTGTCCCAGCGTATCAGTATTTTTGTATTTCCGCTGATAGTCTTCGCTTGCGGCTAAACTGTTTCTATCTCTCAGAGAAATCAGTAGCATGCATTCTTTCGTATTTTGAGGGTTGTAATTTACAATGCTTCTTCTATATAAATAGCTCTTGATTAGCTAGTGTTATGTTACACTTATCTGCCCTTATCGTACAAGAGTTGTTGGGATCAAATATCTGAAGAACTGGCTTTTTGCAGGTGAATCAAGGAATTTCTGTGTACGGAAACAAAGGAAGTACTGACCAGCATGCGTAAGTTGTACAATTCTTGTCAATTGATCCACTTTAACATTGTAGCAGGTTAAAAAATTTGCTATCCGTTAGTAAGATATTTTGATGTGGCGATATGTGGCTACTTCGATATCCGGATTATTGAACACTTTGATTTGGATGTTCAAAATAAATTTATACAATAATGATGATTAATGAAGTTACGAATGTACAGCTACATCCAACAACTGAGGGAAGGTGTCCCCAACTTTTTTGCTACTTTCATTGAAGTGCTTCGAGACAGGCCCCCTGGTCATGACTGGGAACTAGAGCCAGGAGTCACGTGTGGTGATTATCTTTTTGGAATGCTGCAGGTACTACATTTGTTTATTTCCTGAAGTATTTCTCAGTTAAGCCCTTTCATAGTCAGCTATATCAAATAGTCCATTGCAGACATATCTCTTAGAAGTCAGGGAATTGTAGTGAATCAAGCAATTTATACAAGTGAAGTGATTTAACTTGTCTGTCTGTTGCTAGGGGACAAGGTCAGCTCTGTATGCAAACAAAAGACAATCTATAACCCTGACAGTGGAAGAAGTAGATCCCAAGACGGTTGGAGCAATGGTTGCGCTCTATGAGCGTGCTGTTGGGTTTTATGCAAGTCTTGTGAACATCAATGCTTATCATCAACCAGGTGCGAACAGCTGCCCCCCTCCCACCACCGTCTTGCTTTTTTGTCTCTTTTCTTCTCCCTCCCACGTGGAATTCTTACATGTCTTTTATCTAATTGGTACTTCAAAGGCTTGGTCATACATCATGAATTCCGAACATCGTCGTTGATATTTGTGTCCGTTTCTTTAATTGCAGGTGTGGAGGCAGGAAAGAAGGCTGCGGCTGAGGTTTTGGCTCTTCAAAAGAGAGTTCTCGCAGTATTGAACGATGCTAGGTTAGCTTGATCAGCACGCTTGGTCGCCTTTAAATTGTAATACTTTGTGATTATGGTCCCATCATGGTTGAGAGACCTGTGGTGCATGAGAAGTACTACTGTTTCTGATGCCTACAGTTCTTGATCAGTAAGAGAGATGCTTAGATTGTTACCGTATTTGTGAGTAATCGGGTGAGTTCTGCTTTCTGAGTTCTTATCTTAGATTCATTGAAGAAATGTGGGTTTTCTTCTTGTGCTTACAGTTGCAGGGATCCTGTGGAGGCCCTCACAGTCGAGGAGGTGGCGAAGAGGTGTCAAGTTCCTCAGCAGGTACATTTTGAACTCCAAGTTTTTGCCTTGCGTCAATATTATGCTCCACCTGTTGCGACACAGCTATACGCTGTACACATCTTAGCAATACCAACTTCAAGATTATTTGATTATAATACCTCGGCTTCATGTGCTTCATTAGGTTTGAACTTTTTAAATATTTTCCAGGTTGAGATGGTTTACAAGATTATTTCTCACATGGCTGCAAATGACCGAGCTGTATTTGCCGAAGGTGACTGTGGAACTCCAAGAAGTGCGACTGTGTACTCAGGAGAGTGTGGGGTTGATGATTTGTACGATGACTAGAATTATCTCTTTTTCTGAGCTCTCAATGCTCTACCGTAGAGCGCATCATTTGGTTCTTACCTTTTCCAACATTTTGTACACCATTTTAAAACTTGAATACGAAAGGCTGGGTGCCTTCCATTCTACTTCACGTTATTTTCAAGGTATCAATCATAAAATATCAAGTAGCATGACTTATCAGTTCATTTAGCTCCCGGACAGACTGTGTATGGAATTGACCCTGGTTTTTGTGATCTGGTCTGCTCAAATGTAGTGCCCATGGTTGAGTGCTTATTCTCGTGTTCCTTGTGTGTAACATATTGACCAAAAAGTAAGTGTCACTTGGAATTTGGGAACGGGATCATACACGCATCAGGTGTAAAGCTTTTGTAGTAGATCCTAGTTTGTAAGCTCAGCTAATTTTGCATCAGCTCGTGTTTTGGTAAGTATTTGAAGAGCAGGATTGTAATTTATTTATTTATTTATTTATTGTGATTAAGTGGAGTGATTTTTATTTCTAGTTTTTATATAAATCCAGTTTTTATGGTTCTTACTTTATTTTTATTTTTATAAACTTCATCTCAAACTATGATGTCTTATGATGTTGGTTGTTGGGACTTTCATTGGTTCAAAAACTATTCAAGATGACCCTTGTTTATTTACTAATCTGTTCAAATGGGCATACAAACAAAACAATAACAAACATGTATTTCAATCATAGCCAAGGTTTCACAATTGTACTCTTTTCATCATAGCTTAAAGTTTTTGGTTTTCCCATTTTGAAGCTTCTTTGCATCTTTATCAACATGCATTTTTACTTAAACTATGTTAATATATGGTACAATTTAATTAAAACACTGTTGACAAGCAAAATAACATAAAATAAAATAAAATCCAAAATCTTTTATTTTTACTTCATGAAACATTACAAGACAACTGTAACAATTATATATATATATATATATGTATATATACACGTACATATGCACACTCACTTCAAACTTTAATAACACAAAAAGTCCACTTGTGAATAAATAAAAAGGTTTCATTATGAAGTGTATCTGTAAAGATAATAATCACAATCACAATCACAATCACAAAATAAATATATAAACAGAAATAACAGTAATTACCAAAGACATACAGAATGATCTGCCCAGCACAGCCAAGATCACACAATGATCAGCTTGGACCACACAAAATGAATGAACCAAGTAATTCTATATTAGGGTTGGGGTTTTTATGGCACAATATGCCAGATGGAGTTATAGGAGGATGGTTGTAACTTACATATATCAATTACAATGCAATAAAATACATGGATCATGTTGCTTTCTCCAGCACCTGGAGATCTCAAGTTTCTAACAGGATCATCAATTGAATCATACAACAAAACAAAAAGGGACTTTGTCACAGAGTCAGTGAGAACAGGGTAGTTTCCATGCAATGGGTGTTTCCCTCTAGGAAACTGTAAGTTTGCAAAATGAAAACATTCACATGGAGAACACCTTGAGAGTGTCTTTAGGGTGATAGAAAACAAATCATATTCACATATTCTACAACAGAAGATGAAAAGTTCAAGGGAAAAAAAAACACACACACACAGCCTTTAAAGTGGCTGTAAAAACTTCCATGTGATCTAATTGCATCCAGAACATCATTTATCTTCCTTGTGAAATTCCTCGTACAGAGTTCAACATATTTTAAGATATGAAACAAGTAAATACTGGTTTTGGAGTAGGAATTAATTGAATGATAAGAAGAATTAGCATGTTGTGACTTGGAGATTTTTTGCCAAATGGTGGTGTGAATCATTGAACATGGTGGAATAGAACCATAGTTCTTTCTGGCTGCCAAAACTTTTCTGTACTTTGCATTTAAAAATAAGCGGTTTATTCATTTCATGTTTCCTGAGGTTGGAATTTTAAACTTCTGTTTTTTAAAGGATAAAATCTGGGAGGATTTTTTTTTTTTTTTTCCCCTTATATATATATATATATATATATACTGTTGAACTTCGAAGACAGTTGTTTTAGGCAAATCCTTTATATTTCATACTAGAATTTGTTGCCTATTTAATTCAGATGACTTCAGCAATATCTTAGAGCTGTAATAGGTCACTATATAGAGTGGACCAGGAATCTGAATTAAACAGAAAAAATTGTTGTTGATCTACACTCCTAGGAAGAAACAGGGGCTCGAGCATCAAAGGCTGCAAGTTACAGTGAAAATGGTTTATATAACATGCATTCAAACCCTAAAATATCAGACATTCATTAATTTAAACAAAAAAAGAGGTTTAAAACCACGTCTCATATTCGATTCTCACGGTCAACTTCACACTTTATGCAAATACTAAAAACAATGCAGAAATCCACCTTAATCAACCAAAAATATGTGGACCACCTTCAGAGTAATTCATAATTAAGATTCTATCAAATACCCATCTGCTATCCATTTCAAACTGCAAGTCAAGACAGTTGTCGCCCAACGGAATGCTCAAACATGGAAAAGAATGGAGCATCAGTGCTAAACATTTGTGAGTAAAACAAACAAACAACAAACAAACAAGCAACAACAGTTTTATGATAATGATGAAAAAATGCAAAAAATGCAAAAAATGCAAAAAAAAAAAAAAAAAACAACAACAACAACAAACAGTCAACGGGTGATCTCCGCCTTGTCAACAAACAAGGTCAACAGGTTCTAAGATTTTCCTTGACGAATTGGTTGGCTCCCATCTGTCGTGTAAACAGTTGTGAAGTGAGGCGCGGGAACGCAAAGACCTCCACCACCACGTCGAGAAACACCGTCTCGAAGCGTGTCCAAACACAGCGTCGCAGTTTATGAGGGAATGAAAATATAACATAAAGCAAGCGCAATAGCGAAAGAAAAAAAAAAAGGGCTGTGGAGGTGGAAATCAACACACACCCTGGATTCGGTGATGGTCGATTCGGCCAAGCTCAGAGAATCGGGGACCAGTTGGAGTTCTCGGCATGGCAGCAGGAGCAACAACACCGCCACAAAACTTTTTCATGGTGTGCGGTGTGTGCACCGCTAGAAGAGCAGCTATAGAGTACAAGATGGAGTCTCGCTTTGGCACAAGATTTCGATGACCTACTTCTATATTGGTTGTAATTTGTATTTTAACATTTAAAAACATGTATATGTATATATATATATATATATATATGTAAGGAATTTTTTGGCTTCCAATTATTTAATAAAGTCCTTTCACCACCTTTATGTAACAAAATAATATTTCTTTTGATAATTGAATATGATAGATATAGTTGGGATATAGTATTATTAATTATATTTCAAAAACATTAAAATCCAATTATCATATAGGATTTTAAAATTAATTTCACAACAATTCTATTATGATCTTCTTCTTTTTTTTTCTTTTTTTTCTTTTTTTCAATCTATTAAAAGAATTGATCAAATAATAAAATTATTTATTTGATCTAAAAGTTTTTTTAGTACTCTATACTGCAAATTGTTTTGCTTTGATTGCTTCTGTTGAAAAATTAGACTTGGTAAACAATAATAAATTAATTATTTAAAGTATTTTTTTATTTTTAGTTTTTTATGTTATTTCTTATTTTATCCTTCTTAGATATAAAAAAAATATTTAAAGAATAATAAAAATATTTTCTATTTCATCATGTATTTTTAATTATCTATTTTTTAAAGTTAAAATTAAATAATTAATTTTTTAAAGATCTCTAAGTTTTCAAGATCATGTTATTATTAAAATTAATTTATATTTTTTAAATTTATTATTAAATTTTTATTGTTCATATAGTTTTTTGTCTTTAAAATATTATTTTTAAAATTAATAAAAGTTATTAATGTTGTGTAAACAAAGATCATTATACACAACATATTGAGTATTATAAACCAATCACAAAGTATGCAATCTAAACTAAATACAAATGCATAACCAACATATTTTCAAGTGTCCCTTTCAGCTGATTAGAAGTCCTTCTAATCAATAAGGACCACAAAACACATAGTATTGAAGATAAATGCCACAATAATATTCTTATCAAATGGTATTCATCCAAACCAGTGTCGTAGCAACTAGACTATCAAAGTGTGACAAATATAATAGAAAAAATCTTCAATTCTTATCAATATATGAGACATGACTAGAAGACTTCTTATAATGAGAACAAATCCAATGTCTTGAAAGGAGAGTCAAAAGAAGTGGTGTTAAACATGCCATAGGCCATCCATGTTTGCATTGATTATACAAAAGCATGGTAGTAACTCCTTTCTTTTTATCACATACAAAACATAGAAGACCAATTGACAAAACTACCAATTCAAGATGTATAGAATCATCAATAGGAAGATGAGAAGGAACACAATTCTTTAAATGCTTTCGATACTTTTGTACATCTTTACCTTCTAATAACAAAATACTACTAGGCAAAATATCCTTTACATGTAGAATTATATGCCTTGCCTTAATATAAAGTGTTGTAGGTACCACATTTTACAAATACACATAATCTTTTTTAGAAAAACTTCAAAATTAAAGTTGATAAGCTCTACTACAAATGTGAGCATATCATAAGGTATCATAATATTGACCAATAGATAAGTTCTCCATAGCTATATACATGGCTTGTTTAAAGAACTTTATTTGATTATATTGATATTGAGCTCAAACATCAAGATTATCTAAGTCTATAACTAGAATTAGCTTTTTACATACTAAACTTAGTAGGATTAGATGTCATCCATATAATAATTAATAAAGATTATAAGATTCTAAATATGCTTGTTTACTAAAGCAATGAAATCTATTGCAATCTATGGCAACATCAAATTTCAATCACGATGGTTGCCATGAAGTAATCTATACTTTGATAAATCATGTTTGATAAATTGAACAATCCATTCAACTAAGCTATCTGCCTCAAGATGATTTTTAGATATAGTATGATGATCTATCAAAGCTTTAAATACTCCAAGAAACTATCTTCTTCAATCCATCAAGTTTTTAGCAAGTTCTCCAAAACATGCCAGTACTTAATCAAAAAAAGACATAGATACCAATTTTGAAGAATTTTGTTGTAAAGCCACAAGTTTAATTCACTTGTTAAAATACTCTATCTTCACCAATACATATTTATATTCATATG